CCGATTTCTAGGCCAAATTTTTGTGCAGAGGATATATTCCCCATGCAGGCCGTTATGTATTCACCGATGTCACTGTCTGGGTGTCTTTCCAGTTTGTTTTTATATCTAGTATCTTTGTTGAGAATTGATAATAAAATACGCGACGACTTGGTAACGAATGTTTGGCACAAGTTTTTTTAGATCCAGCTGTAGGGGGCGTCCCATTTTTCGTATTCCCACCATGCATTTCGGTGGAACATAGTGGAACACTTTTTTTGTGTGGAGAACTCTATCTTGTATATCTAGTATCTTTGATAGGGCCAACAAGAGTCGTGTTTTTGTTCTATTAGGTCTATTGCTATGTTATGGGTTATTTTTTTAGATTCGGCTTCATTATCCAAATGTTGATGATGATAATACAAACCATTAAATGGAGCTGAATAACATGATTCACCACTTTTACATTCACAAATCCGATTTACAGTACTGCTACATTCAGTTACTTCCTGTGAGAATATGAGATCAATAATGCTAAATAATATAAATTGTATGTGCCATCACCACCATAGATAATCATCATCATCATCATCATCATCATCATCATCATCATCATCATCATCATCAATTGTCTCCATCATCATTATCATCATCACAATCGCCATCACTACTATCATTATCATCATCATCATCTTCAGAATTATTATTAGGCCTATCATTCATTTTCGTTATTATCAACATCATCGTCAACATCGTATGCCCCTGATAATAATTGTTATCATATATCAGCAGCAACATAGTCTTTTCACCGATTATCACATCCTAAATTCATCTCCATCATCACCATCATACTTCTCCTCCTAATTCTCATCTTTATCATCGTCCTCATCACCATTGCCACCTTATCACCTACCCCATCTTCATCAACATCGTCCTAATCACGACTTTAATCATCATCATCATTGAAATAATAATAACATAATAATAAATATTATTATGAAATATGATAATAATAGTGTTAATTATAAAGAGGTTTATCTTGCTTGGTACTACTTATAGGCCTAACACTAAGGTGTTAAAGCTCATAAACTACACTACTGTAGACCAAGATAGTTCGTATCATGTAGCTTACGTTTTCAAGTTCTCCACATGTTCGACACATCAGACAATATGGGCAAGCATTTGGAGATGGGTTATATGTACCAATTATACATGGTTTACAAACAGCTTTGGTTGAAGTTATTTCAGCTACATATGACCCTGCGTAGCATAAATCGTACGTTGGTCCATCTTCTTCTAACTTGAACCACTTGTGGAAATGTGAGGTTTCAGTTCCCTCTATATGGCATTTGCAGCTTGGTATGAATTGCGCCAATTTCTCATCATACTGAGAAATAAACGAATGAAGTTATGCTGATTAATATTAATTAACATAACATACAATGTACGAAAGTCAAGTAACACTGCTCAATCGATTGTAATACGTTTTTGCTATTGTAGATGATAGTAATGCCGTAGTTATTTGAATAAACGCCCCGGGGCGTCTATTGTTTAGAAGGGCGTTTATTTGAGGGAGGCGTTTATTCGAGGGTTGCGGTTTTTTTTTTGTGTGTGTAATAAATGGATACATACTCAAATAAAGGCCCCTTAATTTCATTGTAAATGTGGATTGTGGAAATACAACACACAATTACCATCAAAATGTGTTACGTCACTTCATAAAAACATGTTGATCCCAACCAGATTAGAAAAAATGTAATCTTTTTGTAGAATATTACTTAATAGAATTTATTGAGAATGATGTTGCTTTCATTAGTTTTTTTTACACTCATTAGGGGGCGTTTATTCGAGGAAAAAATAAACATTCCAAGTCATTTATCCCAAATGAGACTGGAGGGGGCGTTTATTTGAGGAGGCGCTTATTAGAATAAATACAAACATTTTCTTTATCATTCTGTTAACTCTCGATGTGGTAGACCTACCTGGTCCCCATAACACTATTCGTGATCATTAAAAGGGAGATATTAATACATACCCGATGTAGGGTCTGTTACTGTATTAAAGCCAACCCCTGTCATTTATATATCAATTGGTAAAGTGAATTTTCTTGTTAAATCAACACAGCAAGTCCATCTATCCTGACACTCCTTTATAGATGGCCGCATGTAGGCCTACATAATCCATATAAGAGCATATCATTTCTCATGTTTGTCCCCTCTCGTTAACGAACGGAAGCGTGGCTCATTCAGAACCCAAAGGGGAACATGAAAACGGGCATGAAAATCAATTCTGCAACTCAGGAGTTGAGCCACTTTCATGTTCTGATTAATCTGCAGATGTATAATAACAAGCCCAACCCTATACATTAACTAATTTTGAAGATAAACGTGTCGTTCCAGCCAGTATTTTTGTGCAAACCTGGACCACAAAGGCCATGGAGGGATATTTCCTCCATTGCCAGGCCCAGGCATGCCTCATTATATATTTGCTATTGTACAAGCCTACGTGGGTAAGCTTAAGTTTTCAAACTTACCATAAAAACTACATTCTCCCCATACGAACTTCCGGGATGTGCTGTATTTGTCAACTTCACATAAAGTATTAGGCCTATTACAGCAGTTAGTAACCTTGTGTTATGCATGTATTCGAATGAAAAAACCTTCATAACGTATTTAAAAAATATATCGTCCTATATAGAGTAATAGAAACACCAAAGATTCAATGGCAAAGAATTAAAACTGAACACCTAAAACTAGCAGCCCAAAATAAACTGGGGTATTCCCATGAACCTATACATAATAACGAAACGTTACTGAGATGACATGCAAATAAATGGCGTAAGCAAATATAAGGCTTTATGCACCTTATCTCTGAATTCATACTAATAATATGAACCCATTGACCCATTCTAAATGTCATTGTCAATAAGGCATTTGGATCTACAGTAGGCTACTGTACTCTGTAGTGTCGTCAAACTTTATAGGAAGCCGACCATACCATGGTTATACTATTATGTGGATGGCCACGTACGCATACACAGTATTATGTGTTCTAATGTATTATCAACATGGACAAATCCTTGCCAATTATTTACGTACTGTTTGTAACTTTTCGATCCGCTACCAACGGATCTTCATCAGATTATGTATCCTAAGCCACTTTTTGTAAAAACAATTGTCTTAGTAGATTATTGTTCTTGACGCCATTGTTGCCATTCTTTTTCTCGTTGAATTAGACTCGATTATATTTACGATTTTTGGAACTTACAGCCTATTTGCGCAGTAGGCCTATGGAACATTTAGCCAGGTCATGGGTGCAAGCCCTATCGAGTGCTAACTTTTCACATCGTTAAAAACAATTTCACTCTCTAAGAATCATTGAACTAATTCGCGCATGCATGTGCACTGTACCCGCTTTTTCTTGTGAAAAAGATTATCAACAAATCATTATAGCAATAATTATTTACTTATTATTATAAGTTCGCTAATGGTAATCAATTGTCCATGTGTCTAAATGTACGGCAAAAAATGCAATATACACTCAGCCGTTGGTGGTAGCCCATTCTGTAATGCGTTTGCTGCAGGTCCAATATATTATGTCTACATAAACTTATATGCCTGTTATCATGTCTAATTTATCTTCTGGTGTCTGTATTCAATAGACCTTTCTAGAGTGTCAATCGAACTTAACAACTGACCAATCAGAACAAGACCAGGAATACGCGCGTGTGTCCCACAAACACACGTGTTGTCTTGTGAGACCTTAGCAACAATATCCAAGGGCGGGGCTTAGAGGAAAGGTTCAATGTATCTTCACACCTGGTATCATTTTAATTTTCAATGTAGAGAGGATTTGGTCTATAAAGCTATTGGAACACGTCAGTAACGAAACAGAAATATTTACAAAATAAACATATCAATCAATCAGACAGATGAATGTTATTACATTTATTGATTTGCATGAAGAACACGTGTCATTACAACAAATACAATATATACAATATATAATTCCATAAGACTGAGAGAGTATTATAGGGCTGATCTTTTTTTTATTCAGCTATAAAAATAACCACACAAAATACAGCCAGGGAAGAATGTTTTTGCATTATAATATACTAAAAAACGTTATCATTAACACCTAGGGCCTATCAAAGTTGATTTCTTTTAAAATGTTGTACGGCAGTAGAGTATATACAAATTATGAAAGATTTAAACACGTCAGCAAGTGAATATATTTAAAGCAACATCCACTACAAAATAACTACACACAATAAATGAACACGACACATTAAGTATAATCTGTC